ACACACACACACACACACACACACACACACAGATAATCTCTCAACAATATGCGTTTTTGCATTGCATAGGTGCAAAAAACGTACGAAAACTATCATACCGCTATGGTGACAAAATATACACAGAAGTACAGATATTTTCATCGCATCAGTCTTTCTTTTTTAGGTAAAAGGTGCCGGAAAAAAGATTTCGAAGACTATTCCATCTACAAATATTCATAAAAATTTCATTTTCGAAATACCTTTCGTGGATCTGGATTCCAGGCATCATAAGTTACGAATGAATTAGATATGATACGCCGTTCCAGGATTTTCAAAGTTGTAAGGACGATTTTTTGAAGCGACGAAAAATATCGCTCATATACAAATGAAATCTGTTCGCGCATTTGTTGCTTTCGTTGAAACGATAACAATCTCAGGATTGATTGCACAGATGATAAACGACTGCGGTAAAATGTCATAGAGAAGCTGAAATCGAAGAAAAAAAAGTAAAGCGAATTCAGCTAAAACAAGCGAATTTGATGAATTTTTTACAGTTTTCTAAAACGAATTTTTTACAGTTATTATTTTTTCCCAAAGTCATAAAATACCCCCGCTGTTTTTATAAAATTGTCAACTTTCGGCACTAAGCAGTGAAGCTGAATAGGCACTAAGAATGCACAGCAAGGACTAGAAATTTGCCAAACCATTTCTACCGAAAGAACCGTTAGCAGTTCTTTTGCAAGGCGAAACAATGAAGATCATCAGCAGGCTATCAGGCGAGGCACTACTCGTCAAAAGAATCGGAAAAGCTGCTAGCTACAATAGCTGGGAAAAAAGACTATGAATTATGGTCAATCCAAAAGCTCTCTGTTTGCCCCCTCTCTCTGATTTCTCTTTCTTTCGCATATCTGTCTTGCAAATTAGTTACATGACTGTTCAGCACATGGCAGATAGGAGGCTGTACTGATGATTCCCGCTTCTACCCGCATGCACAGTTGTTCGGTCTGTGTTTACAGTTAAGGGATGAAACATAGTGGCTGCACCATAACATGTCTTCTTACATATGACACTTTAATCCAATCCTTCTAATATTTCCTAAAATAGTAACTAACAGATTCCAATCGAGGACTTCGTTAAAAGGGAGAACAATTGTATCAGAGATAATGATCGGAATGGAACCATGGCGCAAAGCAGAAATCAGCAACAACTCATAGCCAGCAACTCGATCATCAATTAAAGTGAATTCACTTCGCTGAAAAGCAACAATTCTCATAACTAAGTCATTTTCTCTCATTAAGGTATAAATTTCCCTTTTTTTCTTTTTTGCTTACTATGGTAGATGAGCTGTCATGTGGCACGGATGTCAGATAATAGATGGACGAAGCGGATAATGGAATGGTACCCACGCACTGTCAAGCTAACATTGGGGAGGCCACCAGTGAGGTGGCGAGGCCCCATGGCATGTCTGTATGATACTGCGTGGACTCGGACAGCGCAAAAAAAACGAATCGAATGGAGAAGTTGCCAGCGCTGCATCGATGGCGTGACAACGAACGTCGATGATATACAGCTGCTCAAGTATTCAGTTAAGTGTGATATAAATAAGAAATGGGAAATTAGCATAAAAGCGGAGTGAGAACATGCTAACAGCAACCATTCGCTGGCAAGGCTGTTGATG